AAACACTGTAATTAAGCCATTGTGTGTCTGTGTTATTTACCAAATGAATAATTACACTATGCCCTTGAGAGTTAGTGCTACTTTGGAGCATTGGGGCTAATCTCTTTGGCATCTTGTCTGAAACTCACTTTAATGAGCAATATATTCTGAGTAATGTTCAAAGCCAATCGACTACTTTATACAAAGAGATATTACAGCAACAGAAAAAAGATGGAGTGTGTTGCAAGCCATAAAACACTGAAACACACTCAAACTACACTTAACTCTGAAAAACAGCTTTTAATTCAGCAGTGGCCGATGAACATCTTGTACATGTCAGATTTTGTACCGAACACCAGGAAGAGAAGGATGATAGGTTTCCTAGTCCTGATGGGTCTTTTTGTTGTTGTTGTTGTTTCTGGCTAAAAGCAATTACAGAGAAATCACAAAATTAACCTTAATGACAATGTTCCCTTCTATACCAAGTCTAACTTCTGCTCTCTCTTGCCCAAATCTGAATGGCTTTGCCAAGGAGACACTTGACATTCTGGACTCAGTAAAAAAAATAAAATGAGGCAAACTCCCCATAATTCTTGCAGCTGCCCCAGCCCTCTCCGCATTCTCTAAGCCAGCCTCACTGGAGGTCAGCTGCCAGTTTGCACTGGGCGAAGAGGATTCACTGCTAGCAGCAGGCAGAGGTGACACTGATCTTCTGAAAAACATGGAGAGTGGATTGTATTGAAATAATCTTCACACTCTTCACTGAATTTGAGGGTTTCCCTGAACCCCTGTACATGACAATTCTGGCTCCCAAATTCAAAACCACCTTGCGCTTGCCCCCTTCCCACCCCAAACTCACCACTACAAGTAGAGACAAATGGAAGTCAGGATGGGGCAGCATTGTCCAGGGAGGAGGTGGATTGGCCCAGAGGAAGAGGATGTATGTCATTTAATGAGAAAATAACATGCTTTCACCAATTTTTAGGCCACATCTTGTTGGCAAGACACTTGAGGAAGAGACATGGCAAGGGCACACTGTGGCATGTGAGCTGCCCTACAGGAGGACCCCATCGGTCTCAGCCGAAGCAGAGTTGACACTTTACCAATGTAGAAGGAGGTCCAGCTCTCTGGGCCACAGAACCACCCAAGCTTGAAACACTCCCCTCCAACACAGGCTACTTTGTCCCAAGGTCATGTTTAAGTAAGAAGTTAAGCATGGAGCTGTGTGAGGTTCAGATAGGCACAAGATGGACAGAAAGAGGGTGGCAAGGGACAGAGGATGAATGCCCTGAAAGATGGACAACAAAGGGACCCTAGCAAGACCTGCACTCTTTTTGACTCCATCTCTCTTCCCCCTCTGCAGGGAGTTCAAGGATCTGGGGGTAATCAGGTGAAATTGGTAATCAGAGGGGACAGTAGCT